TTTGTGAAAGGTACTGTTTTTGTAAAATTGTGAAAAAACTATTCATAATGTGCGAATATAAAATATGCGTTAAGTCCCACTCTTTCAATCAGGGTCCTGCTTTTGCGAATTTGTGCAAATAGGGTCCTGTTATTGCAAAAATTGTTAAAAACCTTTTCAAGAAGTTTTTAAATTGTAAATAGATACAAGATTCTGCTCAACAATTGCTGCTACTAAATTAGAGATGCAACATACACATAATTGGGATTTAGCCTATACTGCTCAACACAGAATATTCATTTCGGACGAATACTGGAAACAAAATCACTCACATTTTTAATAATATCAATTGACATATTTTAAATAACACAACTTAGTAATGTATCACTTTTAATGTGCTACGCATTAAGTAAGCTTAAACAATTCCTAAATTTATAAGATTTTATTTAAAAAATTGCCAGAAATTAATTTTTATTTACATAATATTCTGTTAATTAATTTCATGAATAAATATAAATTGATCAGTTATTTATTTACAAAAAAATATATGGTTTGATATTAGTAAGTATGCGCTCATGATGTTTGTAAAAGTAGAAATATTTTCTTAGAATACTGCATTTAGAATTTAAACTAAGGGAAACTTAGTTTGTCTCGAACCATCTCTCCCCCCACCGGGAGAAGGGTTTATTCGATTAACAAAACAATAATGAAGATAAACAAATTTGTAAAGGGTCCGATTGAAATATAAATTATTTTGTGAAGGGTCCGTTTTTAAGAAATGATATTTCCTGAAAGGTCCGTTAACGGACTCTAATTTCTTCTAAACAGACCCCTGTTTACGCATCTCTGTCCTCCATCTCTCCCTCGTGTTTAAAAAGTTTGACAATATAGTTCAAAACAGCACACTAAGGTTGCCACAAATTTGAATGCAAAAAAAAATATTAGGCATACTTTAGACTATTTTCTTTTAACTAGTTATGTCCAGACAATGAGATAAAAATGACTAAAAACTTAAAAACTTTCAATTTTTTTTTCCTAGTTAAAATTGTCTAAGCGACTAAAACAAGCAAAATGTGAAATATTAGTGTACAGAGATAAAAAAAAACTTTTTTTTGACGTACATAATGTTTCGATGTTAAAAACTTATCAGTCGAAAATATTGAATTTATTGAAATGTTTTGAATAATATTTGACTACTAACTGAAGTAATCTTAAACGTTTAAAAGGCACTTGATGAAAGAATTCAAATATTATTTAAGAATTTGTAAAGTGTTAAGAATGATAAACAGGATTTACCTGACAGCGGGAGTTGTGCTGTTGTATCATCTATTAGTTCAAATATTAACAAATGTTCTAAGGGTCGCTAATATTTTTATTTTACGATCTATTTTAAGAACTGCACTTAAAATTTATTTATAGAAGACCATAAAACCGATCGTCTTTAAGGTTTCTTTTCTTTTCTTTCTTCTTTTCTTCCACTATAACAGGAGAAATATTTTTATTATTCTTTTTTTTCTAATTAGAATAAATATTTTTATTTTATTCTAATTAGAAAAAAAAAGAATTGAAGTTCGTGACGTTATGGAGCATCGATGTATTTTAAATGTATCGGTGAAAAACCTGCGAAATAAAACCCTGCTATTCTTTAGAATATCACAAAATTTAAAATGCTTAGGATTAACAATATTTTCATTTTTTTTATAAATTAAATAGAAAGAAGCGACGTGAAACTTCTTGAATCAGTCAATTCAAATCCGAATTAATATTTATTTGCGACTAGTAATATTCAATAAATAAATAAATAAATAGTTATTATAAAATTCTCCAATGCGCATAATATTTTCTCCAACTATCGGGATGATAAATGAAATCATTCTTAAAGAGGCTTTTAATTTATTTTTAATTTGAGACATTTACTATTTTTTCTGCTTAGGTTTTCAGATATTTCTAATTTAAAGAAAAATTATTTCCCAAACTGGAATACTTTGCATCTGGTATTTGTTGTCCACATTGCATGGAATTATTTTTCATTTTGCTTAAAATATTAATTTATTTTCTTAGCTTGGTTGCTGTTCTCGTGTTATATCAAAGTTTAAACAAAAACAATCTAAATTAGACACGCTTAAAATGAAGCAATAAATTATTATCGTTGTCTTAAGGGTTTGATTTTAAAATTTTATCTGAAATTTACTTCATTTAATTATTTGTTTTAAGGCAAGTTAATGAGAAAAATTATCCAAAATATCATGATTTGTAAATTATTGCAGTCTTTAGTGTTTCAAAGGGTGCCAATAATTCAATTTCTTGCAATTTTCAATTTTAAAATGAATTTATGAAAAAAGTAATAATCGACAAAATAAAGCAGCAGCCAAATTTATCATTAAAATGTAAAATTACATTTTTTAGTGAATTAAAAATTCTTTTCTCTCCTTAATAACAGAGCAGATGTTAGTCATATTCATCAAAATTATATGATTTGTTTTATTTTGTTGTTGCCCAAAAATTTATCATTTTAAATAAAGAAATTATTCAGCTAAAAATTATTCACAAATCTTGGCAGATAAACTGTATTAATGACAATAAAATATTTTTACACAGGATTGCAATGAAAATACAACTTCTGCACCGATCACCATTTTTCGAGCTTTGAATATAATAAAGAATGATTAATTCTTAAGTGAGCAATGATTAATTAAGTAGCGATTAATTAAATGATGAATAATTATTTAAATCCATTTTTAATTTATTTTTATTTTAACTTACTAAATCCATATTCCAGGATAAAGATGTAATGGATTCCAATTAAATGATGAATAATTAATTAAATCCATTTTTAATTTATTTTTATTTCAACTTACTAAATCCATTTTCCGGGATAAAGATGCAATTCAGGATTTCATCCATACGATTTTAGTAGCATTTTATTTTAATTGTCTATCAGGGTGCGTAGCGAATTCTTTGAACAAAAAATAAGCACCCTTTAAGTACTTTTTAAGCACGCAAAAATTGTTTTAAGCACTATATACATTAACAAAATGCAAAATAATTTTCGGAGACTTTAAATGATCATGATAAAATAACTAGTTTCTAACAAAAAACTCTTTTCTTGATTATATTAGCCATTATAAAATGATCGAGAGATTTTTCGGTTCGATATCAGAGGGTAGAAAATAAAGTCTGGAATTGAGAATATCTTGCAAAATGCAGCAGAGTTGCACATGAGAGTGCAATTACCGAACCCAGCTCAGCAGACGCACATACAGACTCGCACGTGTTTCACCAAACATGTAAAATGACTGGCGCTTTCATACGCTATGGACTGATGGTACATCGAAATAGATTGTGGTTCAATGAATTGTGAATTGAACAGAACAATGTGAAAAGCACGCTTTTGCACAATACTTGGCGAAAATCGACATGGTAGAGAAAAAAAATCTCAGTTTCGAAAAGGGAAAATTAAGCACTTTTTAAAACTACGCAATGAAAAAAGCACCTTAAAGGGCTTTTAAATAACGAAAATCGAAAATAAGTACCTTTAAGCACTTTTTAAAAGCGTTACGCACCATGTCTATTTATACAATAAATTAGGGCATTAGTTAGTTTTACAATTAACTAGTGACATTGTGTTAAATTACAAATATTGAGAAACATGCTCATTACTTGAAACTCAGGCTTGACGATTTTTTCAATCTTGTTATTTGCAATCAGAATATCTTGAAATGTTTATAATTGCAAAAAATCACAGGTCACCCTTTTTTAAAATAAAAAGTATGGCTCCTTTGAAATTGGTTCTAATCACCAGTTAGTGTCAGCTGTGTCTACTCCATAACAGAATCAATTCTGAAAATTATTTTAATACCTTTCTTCTCTTAAAAAAGTTTAACAATCAATCTTTTTACATCCAATTTGTTATATTTGAAAATAACTCTATGTAAAAAAACATATTAAAAGAAGCAAAGGATTTCGAAAAGTGTTTTCTTACCAGGGGGTTCATGGATGTTATAGGCTGCACAATATCATGACCAACGGCGTGATTGTGGCAATTTAGTCAACATAGCGCCATCTTTATTTTCAAGTCAGCTAGTACCCGTCGATTTGGAACCCGGAGTCTATGTCTTCTTCTTTCACAATGACAGTTCAGTGAGCCGCGGTCGCCTTCCAATGATGTAACCCGTGTTCGAATCACAGACGTGGCGGGTTGGTACGAGTTCTGCTCTCTGCTCGCACTGACAAAATGGGGTACTGACGTAAAACATCCTCGGTGGTAGACAGATCACGAGTTATAATACCCGGGCTAATAGTGGGAGGTTTTCCTTTCCATGCAACGCAAATGTGGATTGTTTCATACAAAAGTCCCCCTCAAATGCTAGTTTGACCTAATGGATGATCCAGGAGTTCCTTTGTCTTCTCGGTTGGGTTCAAAATTATAAAGTTCATAACATTATCAGTCGTAAATTGAGAATTGGGTCGGCAGTTTCAACGCCAGTTCTAAAACAAAATAAAATAAAATGACAGTTTAGTTTTTTACTACAGAGCCATCGCGTTCACAAATATGAATAATATATGATAATACATGAATAACGTAAATAAGAATAACATATGAATAATAGACAAGAAAATGAAGAATTCTATGAAGAATGGGACTGAGATGGACATTAGAACAGGAAAGGAAATCATGACTAAATTTTATCAGCCATTATGACTTTAAGTCATTATGCAAATTTTTATTAATGTCTGATGACTCAGTAAAATTTGCATTATGACTAATGACAATAGTTTTTTGTCTCTGCTAGTTTTTGACTGACTTAAATTTTGTTCCCCCATTTAGAAACATTTTGACTCATTAATCCATTAGTCAATATTTTAACTTAATGATTTAATTTTGAATTAATATATAGAATACTCTGTTGGTTGAAAATGGTCGAAATGGTAAGGTTGATTGAAAAATAAGAGCTTTTTTTAGTCATTGGTTTAATCACCAAAGAGATTTGGTGCAAATAAATGTTCTTGTAATTCTTTAGAAACTTGTTGAACTACACCGACACAAGCTTGAATGTCAACTGCGTCGATCCACTGGGTCGTTCAGCCCTCCTCATGGCCATCGACAACGAGAACCTGGAGATGGTGGAGTTGCTGCTCGACAGGGGTGTCGACACCAAAGATGCTCTACTCCATGCCATCAACGAGGAATATGTCGAAGCTGTCGAAGTACTGTTGGAACATGAGGAGGCTAAACACACACCTGGACAACCTTACGTAAGAACCCTTCCAACACAATGCATGACAATAAAAATTTTTTTAAAAGATCCATATTATATATATAAGTTCAAAATGAAGATAAAACAAAGGAAAATAACAGACATATGCAAACGAGGGGGGGAAATAATAATGAAAAAAATAATAAACAAACTCTCTCTTTTTTGCGGATATAATCGTGTGGGCTGATGAAACGATTCATCTTTTATTTTCCGGTTTTTTTAAAAAATTTCATCCTCTTTTTTTTTAATCAGTTGTTTGTTATTTTTTGTTATTTTATCTGTGTATTAATTGCTTAAATGAGACGATATATTATAAAAATATGGAATATTTATTATATCAGTACATTTTAATAATTCGACCAAATTATTACACGCACTGTAGCGTCTTAATAATTACGTGTTTTACAAGAATTTATATGCAATACTTTTATATTTAAACACATGGGTTTTTATTCAGGAGATTTTTTATGTACTTCCTATTAGTATTTATTTTTAATGTGTTGCTCTACATTGTTAACCAATTGATACACGAACGTAAACAAACGCAAACCGGTTTCAGCCACGTAACATAAATAAAACTGTGTAACCATCACCTGATGATTAAGATTTTACATAAAAACTCAATAAATTAAATAATCTGCGTCTAATAATTTGGCCAAGGATTGTATATATATATATATATAGCTGCTGCTGCACTATTTAAAAAAAGAAAATGCAGAAATAGTTAACACTTTTTTTCTAAAAATGTGGCTATGTGAAGAAGTTAAATTTTAGGTTTTATCGTTAAATTTTTCTTCTGAAAACTAATAACAAATTTTTGTTTTGGCTCCGATCGAGCTTTTTCTTTTTCAAAAAACTTATGTTTTTATAGACGTTTTTATTAGGACGTGGCAATTAAGAGATTCGTAACTTTTGAGGTAGATTTCAGTTTATACGTTATGGTTTCGATCAAGGCTTTTTTTTTAAAAACTTTCATTTTTATAAACGTTTTTATTATGACGCAGCAATTAAGATGGTTTTAGTCTTCACTTTTTCCTGAAAATACGGTAATTGTAAAACTAAAATTTTTAGTTTTGAAATTTTTTTTCAAAAATTAAGATCTAATTTTATTTTTTCTGTTTTTGCTTTTGTATATGATCATTGTTTTTCACAGGAGTTTTTTTTTATTAGCGCTGCTTTTTCAAAAGCGTTTATTATAGATATTACCTTTTTCAATGTTTTACAGATAATTTTTTTTCTGGAAAATATTATTTTTGCATTCAAGTTGTTTTAAGAATGAAGTATATATATATTTTATTAACTTTACAACTTCATTTTTTTTATTGTAAATATTTCTAATTATCTTAACATCTTAATCATAAGAAATATTTTTATTAATGCTTTTTCCTTTTACCTAAAATCAATAATACAGCGAAGTTTTGATTATTTTTCAATAATGATTAAATTCATTTCTATGTAAAAAAAAAAAAATTTGTTGTGAATGATTTTTTTTTTTAAAAAAAGGTTGCTATTCGGGTCGCCTTATATTCGGTATACGGCCGAATCACTATTTGTTACAACCCTAATATGTACTGATTTACGTTCAAAATGTCTTTTTAAACGGTGTGATTCGAAACTCTGTCGCAACGAAAATAAAAATTCCATAGTTTACTTAGCTTAGTACATAGACGTAGTTTACTTGCCATAGGGTCTTACACTTGAAGCAATGCGATAATTTTAAAGTATGTATATTTTCTTGCCGTGAAGAATTATTTGTGCTTTAGAACAAACAATTAACTTAATTATTTTAAAGGTTATTAAACTTTTTCAAAAATCGCCAATTTGGCGACATTTTTCCACCNATATATATATATATATATTGCTGCTGCTGCACTATTTAAAATCAGAAAATGCAGAAATAGTTAGCATCTATAGTTAACACATTTTCTCTAAAAATGCGGCTATGTGAAGAAGTTAAATTTTAGATTTCATCGTTAAATCTTTCTTTTAAAAACTAATAACAATTTTTGTTTTGGCTCCTATCCAGCTTTTTCTTTTTCAAAAACGTTTTTATTTAGACGTGGCAATTAAGAGATTTTCAACTTTTGAGGTAGATTTCAGTTTATGCGTTATGGTTTCGATCAAGATATTTTTTAAAAACTTTTATTTTTATAAACGTTTTTATTATGACGCGGCAATTAAGATGGTTTTAGTCTTCACTTCTTCCTGAAAATACGGTAATTTTAAAACTGAAATGTTTAGTTTTGAAATTTTTTTTCAAAAATTAAGATCTAATTTTATTTTTTCTGTTTTTCTTTTGTATACGATCATTGTTTTTCACAGGAGTTTTTTTTTAATAGCGCTGCTTTTACAAAAGCATTTATTATAGACATTTCCTTTTTTAATGTTTTATGGATCATTTTTTTCTGGAAAATATTATTTTTGCATTCAAGTTGTTTTAAGAATGAAGTGGGTATATTTTTTTTAACTTTACAACTTCATTTTTTTATTGTAAATATTTCTAATTATATTAATATCTTAATCATAAGTAATATTTCTATTAATGATTTTTCCTTTTACTTAAAATCATTAATACAGCGAAGGTTTGATTATTTTTCAATAATGATTAAACTCATTTCTGTGTAAAAAAAATAATGCTTATGAATGATTTTTTTTTAAAAAAAAAGCCATAGTTTACTTTGCTTAGTACATAGACATAGTTTATTTGCCACAGTGTCTTACACTTGAAGCAATGCGATAATTTTACAGTATATATATTATCTTGCCGTGAAGAATTATCCGGGCTTTAGAACAGACAAATAACTTAATTATTTTAAAGGTTATTAAACTTTTTCAAAAATCGCCAATTTGGCGACATTTTTCCATCTAAATGAAAATTATCAAAACCACTGCCTTATTAACAGTTTTTGCAAATTTTTATAAGCCCAGATAATGCAGCATTGGAATAAGTTCTTAAATATTAAAAAAATTAGACCTTAAGCGTTTTTCATTTTCACAAAAGTGTGGCTTTTTTCCAGTTTAATGTTTTGCATCATTTTCAAAATAAGCATAGACTTTAAATAAGCTAAACTTGACCTAACAGTTATAAGTAACAGTTGCAAATTCACAGCAGTTATAAAAAATAGCATGTAATTCTCAAAAAATCATTATTATGTGACTATTCATTCTCCAATATGGCTTAGATTTTAATACCATTTTGGTTTTAAATAAACCTTTCTAATTTTAATAACCGACTACTTAATACATTGTCGAATTCATCCACACTAGCCTCATAGATTGTCCATATTAGCCCCGTGTAGTGAGGTTAGCGTTTACAAAACTAATCTGTTTTTTAAAAAACAATTATTGTGAAAGTGTGAAACAACTTTCATTCCAAATAAAGCCCAAAATGCAGAGAAATGTATAAATTATTGCTAAAAATATTTCACTAGTTAATAATAATATTAAATATGATTTTTAACAAGTTTGCAAAAATTTTTTACAAGTTCCCTTAGTTATAGACAGCTGTCTCGGTCCCACAGTGGACTGATAGTAAAGACGTAGTTCCCTGTAGTACACCGAAGTTCAAGCATCAGTGGCTGCTGTCAATAAGCGGGTGGGTGACCACTTTGATCAGGTTGTGTAGGGACCAGTGTATACGTTCTCGTTAAACTGTTATACCGTAAAGTGCTCGACTTAGCATTTAGGTCATCGGGCTACCATAGCAGGGGAATCATCCCCTTTGTAGAGGATCAAAATTGCGATGGCATCCATGTCTTTGGATCATCCTCAGGGATGTTTCCCAGACAGTTACCAATAGCCCACTGTGCAGCTCTAGTGCGACGTAAATGAACTACAACAACAACAATGAACACCGACTCGGTAACATTTTCTTCATTTCCTGTTTTCACTCCAGACATTTCGATTGGTTCTTTTGTTTATGAAACTAAATTCTTTTCAGAGTTGGGAGTCAGTTGACTGGGAGGTGTCTGCCTTCACCCCAGACATCACACCCCTGGTGCTCGCTGCCCACCGCAACAACTACGAGATTATAAAGATCCTCCTGGACAGGGGTGCCACTCTCCCCATGCCTCACGATATACGATGTGCCTGCGGGGACTGTGTTCGTTCCTGCATCGAGGATTCCCTCAATCACTCCAGATCCAGAATCAACGCCTACCGTGCCCTCGCCTCTCCCAGTCTGGTGGCACTCTCCTCCAAAGATCCCATCCTGACGGCATTCGAACTCAGCAGCGATCTCAGGAGGTTGAGCTTCTTGGAACACGAATACAAATGCGAGTACCTGGTAAGATTCTCATTCATTTCAGGATGTTTTTCTTCTCATAACCGTTGTTGAACAGCCGACCCAAGTTTTTTGGGGTTTACGACTACTAATAACTAGATTAACCGGAATCCGGGGACACACCGATCACTCGAAGTGCACGCAAAAGTTCAATCGCATAAGCAAACGTATTCAAAATTTTCAAATTAGAGTTTTAACAAATAGAGAGAATATTAAATACGAAATCCAGAAAACAACGTTTCTTAGAAATGAACTAAATACAAACAAGCATTGCAAAGAAAATAAACAGTATCAATCAGAAGAGATGTCGCATCTTCAGTGGGGGTGAAAAGTTAACAAAAGGAAACAATTTCACATGGTTAAATATAAGATGTTTGTAACTCAGAATATAATCACAATTGACAAAACAGTACTTGTACAAAGCAGTACTTCAAGCTTTTACTACTACTAATGTTCAACTCCGTAGCCTTGTCATTTTGAACCCAATCGAGAAGACAAGAAGAGAACTCCCGGATCGAGTATTGGGAGAAATTAGCATTCGTGGTGGACCTTTTGATGGAAATAATCAGCATTTGCATTACATGGAGTGGAAAAGTGCGAATCCTTTTACAGTTAGCCTGACGGCAAAAGGGCTTTAAAACATGATCCGTCCACCACTGAGGATATTTCACGTCAGCACTGTGGTCGGTGCAAGCCGGATGCAGATTCGTATCGAACTCGGTTCACCTCCTTGGAAGGCGAACGCTCTATCCCCTGAGTCATTGCGGTTCAGGATGTTTTTCTTCTTATGATTGGTTCACTTGGGAAGCAAACTGTTTAGAAATGATCAAAGAATAGCATTTATTTTTACTTAAGAGAATGCCGGAAGAAATTCTCGCAAATTCTCTTTCTCCTAATTTAAAATTTTAATTGTAGAAAAAGTGAGTTCCGAGAGTGAAGTTACAAATGCTGAAAAGCAATGAAAATAAATTATGATATGTTAACTTAGGATTATGCAACGGAGAAGTTCTCTTCTAATATTTTAATTGGTGACGAAAATATTTTTCCACGGTATGGGGTCCTCTGAAATAATACACAAATTCAAGTAGTTTACAATGAAACCTGTTAAGCTGACCACCTTTGTAATTGACCTTTATTGTTAAGAACTAAATTTATTATATAATTAAAAAGAATAAAACCTTTGCAGCCTGTGAATCTTATATGTTGATGATTAAAATAAGTAAAATGTATCTAAAAGTGTCATTGAATGCTATTCTAAATCCTTTAGACCGGAAAAAAAGAACCATATCTGAAAATTTTCTAGGCTATTATGTTAATCATAAAAATTACTCAAAATTAGTGAAATAGCGTTAAAAAGCTAACCTAAATCCTTTTGCAAATTAATCATATGGTAAATTTTTTACTGCTTTTGTAACATACAGGTTTGTAAGTTCATAAGACAAAATGAGATTTAAAATGTTGAGATGAATTTAGAAGTTTTATAAATGCACATTGCGTACTGATATTTTTTAAAAATTATTTCTTTATATACTAAAAAATCGTAACTGTCGCCACCGTTGCTTTGGGTGTTCACCTTAACATTGCACACAGATTTATTGTAGAACTATTTATTATTTATTGTATTATCTATAGAACCCAAAGACTTATAAATCCGCAATGTTTCAGGGAATAGAGCGTTCGCCTTCCAATGAGGTGTTCCGGGTTCGATTCCCGGCGATGGCTGGTCGATACGAATTCCACATCCGACTTGCGCTGACCACAGTGCTAACGTGAAATATTCGCAGTGGTAGACGGGTAATGGCTTAGAGTCCCCTGCCGTCAGACAAACCGTGGGAGGTTCTCGTGGTCTTCCTCGCCATGTAACTCAAATGCGGGTTAGTTCCATCAAAAAGTCCTCCACGGATGCAAATTTTTCCCAATACTTGTTCCCTTGTCTTCTGGATTGGGTTCAAAATTACAAGGCTACGTAGTTGAACATTAGCAGTCGTAAACCCAAAAATTGGATCGGCAGTTTAGCGACGGTTATAAAAAGATATAAAAAGGCGTTTAGTAAAGTATAGGGGAGAGGTGGGTCAATTGTAACAGGGTACGATTGTAACAGAGCAAAAATTTCGAGTGTCGGGTTCTAGATTTGGTTCCTAGGTGGCACACAAGGTGTATTTAATAAATCTACATGTACACCCCTGATGGCAACCATTTTTATGTACTTTTGAAAGAGTTACATCACAAAAGATATTTTCACGCCACGCAAGTACTTTTTTTGGTATTAGAATATTATATTGTAACAAAGTAATTTTGTTTAAACAAATAGAAATTAGTAACCGAATATGTAAATGGACACCTTAATTAACATTTCAATTAAAAAAAAGATTAGTTTTGCTAATTAACTAGCATTGTTTTTAACAAATGAAGCTGAAATGGCGTCNAGGTGTTCCGGGTTCGATTCCCGGCGATGGCTGGTCGATACGAATTCCACATCCGACTTGCGCTGACCACAGTGCTAACGTGAAATATTCGCAGTGGTAGACGGGTAATGGCTTAGAGTCCCCTGCCGTCAGACAAACCGTGGGAGGTTCTCGTGGTCTTCCTCGCCATGTAACTCAAATGCGGGTTAGTTCCATCAAAAAGTCCTCCACGGATGCAAATTTTTCCCAATACTTGTTCCCTTGTCTTCTGGACTGGGTTCAAAATTACAAGGCTACGTAGTTGAACATTATCAGTCGTAAACCCAAAAATTGGATCGGCAGTTTAGCGACGGTTATAAAGTGTACCGTGTTTAAGTTGGAATAAGAAAATTATCATCTGATAATTAGTTGGAGAATTATTAACTGTTGAACTTGTAGAAAAAAATATCATACGGGCCGCTCTACAGACCGCAGGAATGAAACTATAACTATTTGACATGCTGGAAGGACCATAATTGCTTATGAGCTCAAAACAGAGTTTTTTTTTTCAGAAATTTTAATTTGCTTGAAAGTTATAGCAAATTTAAGTTTCTGTTTTACGAATTTTTTTCTCAATTCGTTACGTTACATTTGATGCTTAAAATCTATAAAACTTAGAAACTAAAAATTACGAAGGTATGTAGGAAAATGTACAAGAAATTCAATGAAATTTAAAAAAAAAGAAAAAAAGAAACGATTTGATTATTAGTTTGAGAAGTGTTAACAGTTAAATTTGAAGTTAAAAAGAAAGAAAAAACATGTTGATCCATATATTGTCAGCTGAAATGCAACTATCGAGTTAAATTCGATGGGCTGATAGAACCATTTCGAATTATAACTTTAACGAGAGTTCAAAATTCTTAGTTTTTCGAAAGTTATTAAAATTGTAAGCATTTTTTTGCAACTATTTTTTCATTAAATAATAATTATTCATCCATGAGGTATTCTCTAAATAAAATTCAAAAGCTGTGGAGAAAAAAATTTACTAAAACATTTATTTTATCAGCATATTTTATTTTGAATATTTTTACTTTGATTATGCATAAGAAATGTATGAATAATACGGAATATTTAAAAATAACATGATCTAGGAAACACGCTTATTCATCCCCGCTATTAAGTTGACCAGTGGTCAACTTACACAGGTTTCACTTTATTAGTATAAGCGTAGCATGAAATAAAGACACTTTTTAAGGGGGGGGGAAAGTGCATAAAAAATATCATAAAAATTTAAGAGTAATTTCATGTATTTAAGAAAGAGATAATAACTTGTATCGACAATATTTAAATACTTCTCTTGTAGAAAGAATGACAAGTCTCGATTTCAACGTTTTTAAAATAAAAATGCTGGTGGGAAATATTTATTTCTTAATAAGTGTTTGAAAAAGACAATGACGCATATTTTCAATTTCAAGGAATAAATATGCAAAAATATTCATATCAATTATTTCGTAAAATTATACATTAACTATCTAATAATGTTAATTTTTTGGTGGGGTGGGTTAGAAAAATATAAATGATATTGAAAAGTTTTGAGGCATTGGAAAATTATTGGGTGGGTTTCCCTACACCTTTACATGTTAGGTCATAATTTTCTTTTGCTTTGCAAGTATGTTAAAATAAATGCATTCAAATTGTAAACTGTGGTCAATTAATAACACAATTTGTATCTTAAGCTCTTTTTATCGGGAATAAAAGCTTTCTACTAAATGATTTCGGTCTGATTCATTAAAAACTTGCTGCTGAGGTAAAAGAATAAAGGCTTTACGTGCGGAAAATGTATTTTTATACCTAAATATCCTACCGAAATCAACTAAGCTAATTAACAACCTATTAGAAATAACATATTCTCTTCTGAGAAAGCGAAAATAAATATAGTTCCCGTTTGAGAGACATAAATGTGATATTTTGCGTTCTCTTATTTTCAAGAGAAGAAGAGTTAAAGAAATCATACGTTTTTATGATAAAGAAAATATATACACAAAGAAACAAAATAATTCCTCGTGACGTCAAAGGGATAAGTGTGTTCCGTCATCAATAAGATGTGGCGTCTTAAAAATAGCCTCAGTAAAACATTCGAAATACCAGAAACGCCGGCTGGGACAAATCCATTGGTTGTCAACGGATATAAGTTCAGACCTAAAGACCGTCGTTTCCATCCTCCAGATTCCTTTTAAATGATAAGACTTCCACGAACTTTAATGAAATAATTATGTATTATTATTTAATTTAAAAAAAATTTTCAACAGTGGATCTCCAAAAATATGAGGACTCCGACTGCTACGGATCGGGTCAATCCAGATCTACCAAAATTGTATATTCTTACAAAAGGTTCTCCTTCTGTACAGTTCCTGGCCATATTGTTCTACGCACTCTAAAATTCTATGTAAAATCATAATTATCAGGTGATAATTTACAGCTTCATTGTTTTTACCCGACTGAAACCGGTTTGCACTTGTTTAAGTTCGAGAATCAATGGGTTAAATTAGGCGATAGATAATATAAATTCAACGATAGGATAAACTATACGATATATTATATAAATATAGAATATTTATTATATCAGGTATTATATTAGCATATTATAGTAATTAGACCAAATTATTATACTCACTGTAGTGTTTTAATATTTAGCACGAGTTTATACGCCATACTGTTATATTGAAAGATATATGTAGTGGCTATTTATTTAGGACATTTTTTATATACTTCCTATTTGTATTTGTTTTTAACGTATTGCATTACAATGTTAACCAATTGGATACACGAACGTAAACAAGTGCAAACCGGTTTCAGCCGCGTAAAAACAATACAGCTGTATAAAGTATCACCTGATAATTATGATTTTACATAGAATCTTATAGTGCGTCTAATAATACGGCCAGAAACTGTAAGTTAGATTCTTTTCAAATGATATGATTTCCACGAACTTTAATGAATTAATTGTGTATTATTATTTAATTAATAATTGAATTTTTTTAACAGTGAATCTCTAAAAATATGAGAATTCCGACCGTTACGGTTCGGATCAATTGAGGTCTACCAAAATTGTATTTTTTAATAAAAGGTTCTTATTATATAAGCGCTGTCCATAAATGTTGTAACATTTTTTTTCAATATTTTCAAACCCCTTTCCAACAATTTGTCTCAAAGTGTCACACTTAACCGCAACCCTACACCCCATATATCATGTCACGCTAAAATATATAAACTTGTGCTAGTATTATAAAAAAAAACCCAGATATTTCAATTTTTTTTTAAAAAAAACTTTTAACTAAGTTATTAATTGCATATGGGAACATAAAAATTATAATGATTAAATATATACTTTTTTAATGAAAAAAAAAAATATATAAATATGTTTAATCTGCTGTTTTTAAATACAGTTGAGCGCCGATTATCCGAACCCTTATTATCCGAACGTCCAATTATCCGAAATGTGTCCGAATTTTTTTTTTTTTCAAAGTTTAGAATACTTTTTAACTTATCAAAAATTTTTCTAAATTTCTGAAAAATTAGATCATTCGGATGAAAAGATGCCAGGTTATGCAGCAGACGAAATAGAAGACTGGTGTCGAGACACTGAAAATGTCCCGGTATTTCAAATGATGATGAAATAGTTGCTAAAATTTTGAATGAAAATCGGAACTCCACAGACGAAGAGGAAGACGTAGGTGATCAAGTTCAAAATAGTGGACCTTCTCATATAGAAGCATGCAATTCATTCGATATTGCAATGAATTGAATAGAACGCCAAAATGATGTTGATCCAGTTCAGTTGATTTATTTAAAAGAATAAGGGATATGGCTGCTCAAAAAAGAGCATCTTCTTTGAAACAAAAGTCTTTGCTGGATTTCTTTTGTAATGAAAATAAAGAAAAATGTGGTTAAATCAGTAATTGACAAAAAATAATTTAAAAAGTTGAAATATGATTAAAAATATTCAAAATGAAAAAAAAAGTTTTAAAAAAAATAAATAAAAATATTTAAAATTTGAATTTTTTTTTTAAAACAGAGCTATTTTAGATAGTACTGCCAGTCCTAAACCTGGAAAAAGTGTGAAGGCAAGTTAGTGTATAAATAATAATAATTTAAACTAGATTTTATACAACCTTCCAATCATCCGAACTTTTCATTATCCGAATGACGTTCGGTCCCGAGTAGTTCGGATAATCGGCGCTCTACTATTTTTATTTTAACCAAAATGTGGGATGCCACGCTTTTTGTTACTCCTCCCCCCTGTTACTATTTCATTGAATCTAAACAAGATGAACAACGGCTTTGCTGCAAAATATAGAAGAATCAAGGGATAAAGAGAGAACATCGAACGTTAATATCCGAGAATTGTTGGAAAATAAATTATTAAAAACTAATTACTTTCATTTAAAAAATAAAAATTATAAAGTATCTTTTTCTTTCGAATCTGTGGAGTCGAACACATGCTGTAGAAGTCGGAAATATTAGGAGGTTTGTTAAAAGTAAAATAGAAGTTTATGACCTGATGAAAATTATTTAGACTGTCATTATGAAATCCAAAAATATTACTTGAATAGATATCAGGTCAATTATTTAACTAAGAACTTGTCACAAATTTAAATAATTACACTTAATAAATTAAAATACGCACAAATTTTTTTAGTAAGGAAAATTACTATAATTTAAAATGTTTATGCTATTATCTAAAATGTAATTTTGAAAAAATTTAAAATGTAACTACCTTTGATTATTATCATACATAAAACATAAAAAAATAATATCATACATGAAAAAAATACAAAATTAAAAATTATTCAATAAAAAATGTTAGTAACAGAAATAATTTATAATTATTAATAATTTAAATGTTCAATAATTAAATATAATTTTAAATAATTTAAAAATAGTTACGTTTTAAATAATTTAAAATTCAACTGCACCTTTTATTATAATCATACATAAAAAAAGAAATACGAAAATAAAAATTATTATTCAATTAAAACTGTTATTAACATAAATAATTAATAATTATTAACAATTTAAATTTTCATTATATTAATAATTAAATGCAAATTTAAGTAAAATGCTTTTTATTCTAATCTTATATAAAACGTAGAAATACACAATTTGTAATTGGTATTCAATCAAAACAATATTATTATCAGTCATTAATTATGATTAATATTTTAAGTATTAATTTATATATGCACATAAAAAGATAGAAATATATAAGTTGAAATTATTATTCCCTAAATAATATTGTCAATATTGTTCTATGTTAATTAATACTAGGAACGCATTATCGGGAAAAGAAGTGTTACAGGAATAGCTATAATTTACATTGATTAATACTCTCTTTCGAATAATATTCAAAATTGAATTCGGCGTCTTAGAAAATTCGACGTCCCGGAAGTAGTCGGAGTTCAACTATTGACACAACTCTATTTTTAACTGCAAGGCATCTACTTGCATTGAATTGCTTGGTATCATTTGAAAATTTTTTTTTTTTACTCCTGCATCTTGCAATGTATCTGATACATTTTAGATTTACAAATTCATGACTAATTCCAGAATTTTCATTCTATTTATTTCTATTTTCTCCGACATAAATACAACAATGAATTTAAAAAAAAGCCTTATAATAACATTCATTGAAATGATAGGTATAACCAAAACTGTCATACTCTGCATCTTCAGATTTATGGATTTTAAATTTAAGAAAACAGAGTAAAGAAAGAGTTGAAGCAATAAAATAACTGGAAAAAAAAATACAAAAGCAAATACCTTTTTTCTTCTGCAGAATCCTATGTTAAAGATACTTTTCTTGTTCATTGGAAAGGAAAGAAATACTTCCGAATTTTCTGTTCTCATTTCGGAATTTAAAAAAATCGCCTAAGACTGGCTTCCTTCAGCTAGAATTTTAAATTGACAAAATAGAGAAAAATTAAATAATAACACAAATTTTGAAATCACAGAAATTTAAAAGATAATTCTAGATAAAGATAAATGATGTTTTTTTTTTTCATTTTTTTGAAATCACACCATAATTTTTTTAAAGAACATGATAAAAACATTTTATATGTTAATAAAATAAGACTGTGAGTGGGAATTTTGTTACTAATTCAGATATTCGGAACACCATGAAATGGAGAAGAGGGGATAGTTCTATTTAAAAAATTAGATTTTTCGTGGACCTAAATCTATGATTTTCCATGATTTTTTTTAAAAAAATAGTTAAAAATCATGACATTTTAATGACACATTTTGCTCAATACCGAAATTCATGACTTTCCAGGTGCGCAGGTACCCTGCTCTTGCCTCCACTCATTAATACCTTCAATCACGTGGTCATAATGTAGATAATTTTCTTATACTTTCACTACATTATCGGCTTTTTAAAATATTTCCCTGCATTGCACAAAACGATCAAGAAGAGAATCAATTTTGGGAAATCTAAGTGCATTTTAGAAATTTTTTATAACGTTTGAAATAAAGGTGTTCTCAAAAAAAAAGATTTCTATTAAAAAAAAGTACTATATTACGTATGAAGTCCTAGCAGAGTCGCTTCTGAGTGGTGTTTGAGTAAAATAGCTTTAAAGTTAATGTGTTGCTCTTTTCCGCAATAAATATTCCAATTACTAATTGGAATATTAGTCATTGGACTCCACAATTACTGACTGGAACCTTGTTAGTTAGTGTGATTAGTGTTATTCAGTAACTAATTGGATAACACTGATTGGCAATTAGTGTTAAATTTGTTTTTATTTCATTTATTTTTCATTTAGTGTTAAATTTTCTATATTTGTAATCTGCCAAATACATTTTTAATAATATTAAATATAAACATCAACATACATAATACGCATCAACATTATTAGTAGGGAGCCGCGGTGGTTCAGGCGAGAGCATTCACCTTCCAATGAGGTGAACCAGGTTTGAATCCCAGCGATGACTGAACGAAACGAATTCAGCACCCGGCTCATACCGACCCCAGTGCTGACGTAAAAATATCCGCAGTGGTTAAAGGATCATGGGTTACAGTCCTTTTGCTGTCGGGCAATCCGTAGGAGATTTTCATGGTTTTCTTTCCATATAACGCAAATGTGGGTTAGTTGTATCAAAAAGTCCTCCAGGAAGGCCATTTTCTCCCAATACTTGATCCAGGAGTTCCCTGGTCTTTTGGATCAGGTTCAAAATAACAAGGCTACAGAGTTGAACATTAGTAGTCGAAATTCCAAAATTGGGTCATTGCTACTCTGAACGGCATGGTTACTTTTAAAAATGCTGTTTTATAATGAAGCTGCCTTATTGTTACAAAATTTTCTATACTGAAAGTAACTAAAGTATCACTTAACACCTTCTTCACTTCAATGGTATTTTTCCTAGTTCTCACAGCGAGTGCTTAAAGTACACACAATTTTTCACATTGAATCTAGCGAACTATTTAAGTATTTTATTTTAAAGAGTGTTATATTTGTGACAGGAACTACGCAAGCAGTGCCAAGAGTTTGTGACATCTCTCCTGGATCACACCAGAAGTTCCTACGAGCTGGAAGTGCTCCTCAACTACGATCCCTCTTCGGGTGCCGCCTTGAAACCAGCGGGAGACATCAGAATGCGTCTGAGCAGACTCAAGCTTGCCATCAAACATAAACAGAAAAAAGTAAACCTTTTTCCATACTTACTGACCAGCTTTCACGAGAACTCCTTTCGACTGAATATATCTGAGGATGCCTATTGCCATGGACACAAGAGTAAAACTATTTCTGATGGGGGAGGAAATTGAAGTTATAGCAAGACTGTTCCTATCTTAACCAATGCAAAACTGTTAATCCCATTTCCCATTTCGAAGTGACTTTTATTCGTAACTATAGTAACTACCAAGGCTAGCCTGACGTCTGGAGGAGTTCTCGTGGGAGCGAAATAGTAGACACATTTTTTAAAAAAAAGTGAAACTGCTTTTATAAGAGTAAATTTGCAAGTTTGGTACGATGTTGCAGAGTTGATGATCGATGAAAGAATAACGGTATTTCAGAATTCATTATATTCAAAGAAAAGGCATAGGTCAATAAAAGATAAATTCTGTAATAACTACTGTATTCTATAAGATTATGCATAATAAACGAAATTAAACCTTTTTTAGAAGGAAAAGATGCTTTGCTTTCCCAACTGTGATCTTTATATCATTACCATAACTGCCACTTAACCTAAATGTATTACATTTGCGAACAAAATAAATATAAACAAGTGGGCTGAGCCCCCTGCTCGCTAACGCTCGCCAACCCCAGAAAATTGCTGCGCAATCTTATATGGTTTGCTTCGCAAACCAAGTTCGTTTCGCTCGCTACTATAGTTCGTTCACCAGGAGTTGAGACTTGGCTCCACCTCCTCGGACGCAGAGTTCATTTCAGAGCGGGGGAGTGAGAGGAAAAACATCTCCGTTGTTGAAATTGAGACAACCCTTAATTTGCGCCAAACACAGAAAGTGAATTCTTTTTCACTTACTTTGCTTTATCATCTGCTAATATACCTTTTGTTACACTAGCTAATTAAATATAGTTTAAATTTAAAAACTGTTGTTCTCCCAGCGAAATGTCTCATAAAGGACAAACTATTCACTCAAAAGAAAGAAATATCATAAAAAATAGTGTAAAATATCATCAAATATGTTAAAAAATCATGTTAAAAAAATGCACATAAAGTTTGTGAAATAAATATTTTTGCCAAACGATCGCCAAACAGCAACATTGTTCACGATTGCTCACAGCCTTCTCCCAAAAATAGCGAAATAGTATCGTCGCATACCACGTGATGAAGGCGGAGCCAAGTGCCAACTCCTGGTGAACGAGCTATAACTTCGGTACATTGCAAATGCACAAAATTCTAAGAATTCAAAACAATCATTCAAATCCATATAACAACTTTTTTTCAATAAAAAAATTACATCTTTTTAGTAAATACTAAGTCATTAAAATAAATTTGCATCCAAATAAATGACATGTAATTCGTTAAACTTATTAGAAATGTGCTATAGTATAAATTCTTAAAGCGTAACAGCACGACTGAGATATATATATATATATATATATGAGATATATATATATGTTTATTGGGATGTCTTTTTATTGTATTTTCTGCCATTAAACCCACATTCTGCCAATTCCATATTTTGCATTTATGGATTACTTTTCCAATATTTCTTTAAAGTGACTTCTAAATTTCTTTAAGCATGGGAGATGACCTGGACCGTCGATTCTTGCCAAGAAAATGGATTCAAAACAATCATTCAAATCCATATAACAACTTTTTTTCAATAAAAAAATTACATCTTTTTAGTAAATACTAAGTCATTAAAATAAATTTGCATCCAAATAAATGACATGTAATTCGTTAAACTTATTAGAAATGTGCTATAGTATAAATTCTTAAAGCGTAACAGCACGACTGAGATATATATATATATATATATATGAGATATATATATATGTTTATTGGGATGTCTTTTTATTGTATTTTCTGCCATTAAACCCACATTCTGCCAATTCCATATTTTGCATTTATGGATTACTTTTCCAATATTTCTTTAAAGTGCCAAATACATTNTATATATATATATATATATGTCTATGTTTATTGGGATGTCTTTTGATTGTATTTTCTGCCATTAAACCCACATTCTACCAATTCTATATTTTGCATTTATGGATTACTTTTCCTATATTTTTTAAAGTGGCCTCTAAATTTCTTAAGCATTGGAAATGACCTTGACCATCGATTTTTGCCAAGAAAATGGTGGTCGGGAAAGGAAGCTGGTTTGCAAAGTGAAATTTTAAACTTTCCCTTTAACCATTTTTCTTTTGTACAAGCATGAACAATAGTACTTAAGGGTGATTCATTTTGACGTCATCATGACCATTTTCTTAAAATTTCTCCTACAACGTTCTTGTCCAGCATCTACGCTTCTAGTAACACCAAATGAAGACAGTTAGTTGATACTGTTGGTTGAAAAGTTGACACTACGGTTACCAGTTAGTGTCGCTGTTATATTTTTATTTCCTTCTGTACTATTATATAAAATGAAGATTATGTTTTTTATGAGGAAAACGAAGGAAAGAAAATTCTGTTCGGATAGTAAACATAAGTTTTTTTTTCTTACTTTATTCCACTAAAAATGATTTAACAACGATAAAATTTAAATTTATGTTAGTGTTATGAAATTATTCTCATATTGTGCATTTGTGTAAAAACATGAACTATTCCATATCATTTATCTTAGATCTTTTTATTCGTTAAAATGCGTTTCTGTCACATTTTTTTATTTATTCATGTTTAGACCATTCTGTCCTGTTTATGTCATTTTATGATAAACGAGAAAAGATACTTAACTAATGCTTTTTCATAATTATTTTTCCATTACTTATTTAGGAGGTAAGATAAAAACTTGTATTTACAGCAGCTTCATTCCGACGCAAGTTGGAAACAATAAGTCATGAAACAATAAGTAAGTCTTATTGTTTCATGAGATTTACACTGCGCTTGCTCAAAGTGGTTACTGACCTGTTGGAGATTGCGCAATGGAGATGTACTTAAACGGGAAAAAATTTCTTCCGTTTAAATCAAATGGCTGTGAAGAGTTGCAAAATCATTTGTAATTAAACTGTCTTGTAATTCTATCGCACTTCTGACTCGAATATTTTAATAAAAACAACATTAACTTTTTTTTGTATAGTTCTGTGCTCATCCGAATGTGCAACAGCTTCTGGCATCTATCTGGTACGAGGGACTGCCCGGATTTCGCCGGAAGAACATCCTCTTGCAGTGCCTGGAAATCATCAGAATAGGTCTCCTCTTCCCTTTCTATTCCCTGTGCTACATCGTGGCTCCATACTCCACCCCAGGAAGAACATTGAAGAGGCCCTTCATCAAGTTCATCTGCAACTCTGCATCCTACGTCACTTTTCTCTGTAAGTGTTGTCTCCATTCTGATGTTCATTGAGCTATAATTTTAGGTTACAGTTCAATGAATCTGCACGTATATGTAGCAGAAGTTATGCAGTTACATTTATTAAAAAATGTTTCAGAACAACAAACGTGTGTGGAACAATTTTTGCATTCGTAGTTCCTCCAACCGTTAATAAAATAAATGCAACGACTAAACGATTAAAAGAAAGAAAAAGTTGCGTACGATCACTGGTTACCCATGGATCAAATGCTTTTTCTTTCTGGATTGACTCAATTAAACGCCACAACATTTCAAATCATGGGTTGCAAAAAACTGTCTCCATTGATGTTTGTCGTCGGACTTGATATTCATATCCTGCCTATGTACGTGTTTCAAGACGTCACAAAATACTTTTCTTTCTTCAGCATTCATAGTTATATTTAAATCACCGTCAAGACAGTAATGATACGTTAATACTAAAAAAGAATATCAAAATACTTAAAATTATTATTATGTAAACACATTAAAAATGCCTGCCAGTGAAAAGAAAAAGAAAAACAGCAGCGGTCGCCATAGCAACGCATGCGCACTTTTTACTGTTTCTCTTGAACACAGTTGAAAAGTGTGTGGACGCCATCAAATCCAAATCAAGACCCGTTTTGCCAATGAGTAAAAATTTTATTTATTTTTACCATATAAAACCCGAAAGCTAGAGATTAAATTGGTTGCCAAACATTAAGATGTAAAAATTTAAGCGTTCAAGTGAGACCCACCACTCGAGTTTAGAGGGTTAACAGGCTACCAATTTCATTCTTGCGCAAGTGGCTAAACCATCATCAGTTCAAATTGCTTAAGTGTATTAGGCAAAGACTGAAGTCAGCATAAAAGAGTATAGGTCATATGATTCATTGAGTTTAAAAGTTAAAAAAAGTTTTATTGGTGCTTTAATAAAGCGCAAAAGTTGAAAAAAAAATTTTTTAGGGTACTTATCGGTTATAGGGTTTGGTTACTTTGCCAACACTAGGTTCTGGTTAACACAGGTCATCGGATTACGATAATACAATATCGTGATTGTTACGATAAATACTACAATACTGTGATCATTAACAATAACACTCATAACGAATACGGCTGCATCGTGATAATCATTGAAATCTATAATTATCGAATGATGATAATATCGCGATTGTTATTGATAACATAACATATTAAAAAAATAATATCTTGAATACTATACATAAAGATAATTATCGAATACGATATTATTTTGAGTGTCGTTAATTTTATGTGGATACAGAAAATATTGACTAATTTAAAAATAATAGGAATTAGTTAAATTGGAAAAGAATAGCCATATATCTTTAAATATCGATATTTTTGACAATGCACCATCATATCAATAGAAATTTGTATCTATTGGTTACAGGAGGGTCCATGTTTGTGTTGGCGACAATTCGGGAGAGCAGTCGCCAACACATTACAAACTTTTATTTATTTAACTTAATTTTATTTTTAAATTTCCATGAGAATCTAAATTTATTTTGAAAAAATGTTATATTTTTAAGAGTTTTTTTTTAATAATATAAATCATATATTTTTAATAATATAGATCATATCGTTGATCACCTTTTTTCTATTTTGAAAAAAAAAAAAAAAATTATTGGCCATTTGTCGAGCTAAGTGGAAGAACATTTTTGGCGATATTAAAAAAAAGAGAAAGATTTTACTTTAGCCTTTTTTAATTAAACATACATTCATTGATTTTTCCAAGTTATTTAAATTTCACTATTCTCAGTGGACGAAGTTACAAAGTAACAATCTTTGAATGTTTTTGGAGTGGAAGAAGATTTGAAGGGCCTCTTAAAACCAACAATCGACGAGTAGCCTTAGAAATAAAATTAAAGCATATTCTTTTTTCCCTTTGTCAACTTATAAACTTTAAAATTAATTTACTCAAATTCACTAAAAACGGAAGTCTTCATGCACTAAGCTCATCAAATATAAATTTGGTTATATTGAATTTTTTTTAACATGATTGATGTTTATAATTGTTCATAGAAACAGATTACAGTTGCGTTTTTTATTAAATATTTTGTAAGGCTTAACGTTCTTTTTTCTCTCTCTTTCTTTTCTTTCTGTTTTTCCTGTTTTTATTTTTTTTTTACTTCAATCGGGGAGAAGTTCTGCTGATTCTCGCTTCCCAGCGTATCGAGAATGTCATAGTTGATTTGTTCGGAACAGATGAGATGAAAAAGAAAATGAAGAATACCGGAGGAGTCACAACAAAAAGAGGAGCTCCGCCAAGCTTTGTTGAGTGGCTCATCCTGGCATGGGTCATAGGTGAGATATTATCTCCTTTTAAATTAACATATTTCATATAAAGGTTATAGTATAGAATCGGGAGCTCTTAGATAGGGCACTAGGGTGCCTCGTTTTCAATTTGTTTTTTCAAATCAAAATGTTACCCCTAGCAAATTCCTATTTAGAAATAACCATCAAAAAATTATCAATAACTTATAGTAAATTCAAGTATTTAGTATTAATAATAATTTTATTTTATAACAATCTTTGAAGAACCGATCCAATTTTTAGGATTTAGGACTACTAATGTTCAACCCCATAGCCTTGTAATTTTGAACCCAATCCAAAACTCCTGGATCAAGTATTAGGAGAAATTCGAATTCATTTACGACTTTTCGATTGAACTAACCCACATTTGCTTCACATGCAGAGGAAAACCATAAAAACCTCCCACGGTTAGCCTGATGGCAAGGGGACTCTAACTCATGATCTGTCGTCTACCACTGAGGATATTTTTGAGTCAGTACTGTGGTCGGTACAAGCCGGATGCAGAATTTGCACCGACCAGCCATCGCTGGGATTCGAACCCGGTTCATCTCATAGTAAGGCGAACGCTCTATTTCCACCATGCTTCTATACTTCATTCAATTAAAATTTCATGATGGCACAAATTACAGGATTACCTACAGTTATAAAAATATTTTACAGAATTACAGAAAATGGAGATAAAAATTCCATACTCTATAGACTGCGCACCCGGTTAAGTGTTGCAGAATTTATATTTTAAATATATTTCAAAGCATTAAGATTGGATATAAAAAATACTTACGTTTTTATTTCCTGAAATTGATTCATAATTTCAAATAAATAATTCTTATTCTGAAATTGCAGGATTTGATAAACTTTCTGAATTTTCCTCCCGCAGGTCTGATTTGGAGTGAAATTAAGCAACTGTGGGAACTGGGACTCGTGGAATATGTCGGCGACATGTGGAATATTATTGACTTCATAACTAACTCACTGTATGTCGCCACAATTGCACTCCGAATTGTCGTCTACTTCCAGGTCACTCATTTCTTCTTTTATCTTTATCTATTCTAATTATTTTTACCCTTTAAATGGGGGGACAATACAGTAGAAACCTAAAAAAGAAGAATTTTTCATTAATTTTGCAACGATTGTGATAAACTTAATGCATTTTTTTTATCTTAATTAAACTTATTTTAATCTTCATTTTATAATGTGACAAATACAAAAATGTAAGAAATTAAATTTATTTAATTAATTAATGTATATGTTAATGTATATGTTACCGTGAATGGCCGAAATCAAGAGAATGTCGACTTTCCCAGGTGAATGTCAACAATCACATAGTCGCTTCGGTGAATGTATGAAATATTTGTTATATCAGATTTTATATTAATAATTTTAATGTCTGCTTAGTATAGATTAAGAGAAACATCAGTGTTCGACGGGCAAAATGTACACCGGGCACTGAACCTTAAAAAAACTTTAGTGTAGGGTATACCGGGCAGTGGTACTTAACTAGACCTTGTATATATTTCGGACATTTACCAAAGCGGCTATGTGATTGTCAACATGGTGAAAGTCAACAACCACCGATTTCGGTCATTCACAATAACGTATGTAACTTATTTTTTAAACTATCCATAACTTATACTTAAATTATTCATAACTATATTCATAAATTGAGAAAAAATTCTTCAAATTTGATTCTGTTTTCATATTTTTGAATTAATGTTGAATGAAGGTTTCGTTGCACGTAGGAATTTTTTAAAACATTTTTTTCTCCCAAAGCAGTATCGTTTTGAAAACAAATTCGAATATGCATAAAATAATTAACATTTTCGGTGAATATTCAAAAAAAATCCTACTAATTAAAAAAAATCCTTCTTTTTTTGCAGCGAAAACTATATTACGTACATTGTGTCAAAATTTGAAGTAAATCGTTTGAAAATTGTACTAGAAAGACAAAAATTAGTTTTTTTTCTTTACAATCGTCGTTGAACAGCCGACCCAATTTTATGGGTTTACGATTACTAATGTTCAACTCCGTAGCCTTGTCATTTTGAACCCAATCCAGAAGACAAAGACACTCCTAGATTAAGTAGTGGAAGAAATTTGCTTTCGTGGAGGACTTTTTGGTGGAACTAATCCGCATTTGCATTACATGGAGAGGAAGACCGCGAGAACCTCCCACGGTTAGCCTGACAGCAAGGGGACTCTAACCCATGATCCGTCTACCACTGCGGATAATTCACGTCAGCACTGTGGTCGGCGCAAGCCAGATGCGAATTCTTATAGACTAGCTATCGCCGGGATTCGAACCCGGTTCACCTCATTGAAAGGCGAAAGCTCTATTCCCTGAGCCATCACGGCTCAAACATTAGTTTTGAGAAAATTGTGTTTAAACGCATGTATCAGAGAACTATCAATTTGACTTCAAAAATACACATTTTAAAATTTACTCAGAATTTGTAAAATTTACGTAAAACTGAAACATTGAATTATAGCAAAAAATAATTAGAAAATGGAAAATTTACGTAAACTATGTTACGTAAACAAATTCGTTTATTTTGAGAACCAACCACTTTTTACAAGGTGCTAAAGAATACGTTATTTTCACATGTTATTTACGTCAATAGTACGTCAAAAATATATGTAAGATCAAATGTCGAATTGTAGAAAAAAGGTTTATGCAAAAAACGGAAAATTTACGTAAATTACGTAAACAAATTTATCTTGCTATCTGTAATTTTTTACTAGGTTAATTGAATACGTTACTTTTACACAGTATTTACGTCAACAATACGTCAAAAATTTACTTTAGTTGAAACGTAAAATTATAGCAAAAATTGGTTACCCAAAAAATAAACAAATACTTATAAAACGTATTGACTTTACTAATTTTCCAAAACTTAACGTTTAGTTTACGTATAATGGGAAGTATTACTACAATTCAATATTTTGGTACAAAAAGGATAAACTATCGAAAAATGAAATATTGCTTTTAATTTTTTGAAAATTTTTCTGTGTTGTTCCCTCTTAATGCAGTTGGCAGTTTTTAAGAAGTCTTTTTCGTCAGATAAAATAACGTCCTATAACGGGTATCGCCCTGTTTACTGAAAAAATACATCTAGCATATTATTCCATTTTTAAAGAAATCCACCGTTATTTGGAAATTAAAAAAATCATTTGAAGTTTCTTACTGACTGCAGTAGCTTTGCTCATAAAATATGATAAGTAATCAAACGCCAATTTCGAATATTTAAAATGAAGTTGGATTTTCTTAAAATATTTATAATTTCCGGCAAGATAATATTGATAGCTTGAAATCAAAAATTGGCTTTATTTTTTACTTTTCTTGGCGAAAGAGCTTAGAGAAATAACCATAAAGAGGGCTTTTTTGATATTCTTTAACGCCTATTTTAAATATATTAAAAAATGTCGCAGTTTTAAAAACTGAAATTTTCAACATTTTGTTGTAAAATGTTTTTGAACATTTTATTTTTTGAAAAAAAAAATATTTAAACGATTTTCTTTAAAATTTACCAAAACAAAAAATGTATTTTAAAAATCTGTTTGACAGGAAAAAAAATGGCAATAAAGTTGGTTTGAAATTTCAAGTTCATCCGGTTAAAGTTGAAGAAGCAATAACGATTTTCACTTGTCAAATCTGACTTTTTGACAGTACAAGTATATCGATAATATATAAATTGCTCCTTAACGTTTAATATATTTATGAATTTAACCACCTTTAATATCCCCCCTCATACTGTTTTTCACAATTGCAAAAATAAAGTGTGTTTTTAGATGATTCTGTTTGTGGTTTTTCAGATGAGGAAAGAGATGACGCTGAACACGGGCACCGCTCATCTGCCTCGGGAGGAGTGGGATGCTTGGGATCCGATCCTCATCGCTGAAGGACTCTTCGCCGCTGCCAATATTTTCAGGTACTAACTCCAGGCCTTACACCTTGTTTATACAGTCCTCTGGCCATATTATTAGGCGCACTATAAGATTCTATGTAAAATCTTAATTATCAGGTGATACTATACAGCTTTATTGTTTTTACATGACTGAAACCGGTTAGCACTTGTTTAAGTTCGAGAATCAATGGGTTAAATTAGGCGATAGAAAATATAAATTCAACCAATTGATACTAAAGCGTAAACAAATGCGAACCGGTTTCATCCGAGTGAAAACAATACAGCTGTATAGTATCACATAATAATTAAAATTTTACATGGAATCCTATAGTGCGTGTCTAATTATATGGAAAGGAACTGCGTATTAGATACCTTGATATAAAAATGGATATGAACCACTGAAAATAATAAATAAGCGAATTGAACAACATTAAGCATATGCCGGACTGCAGAATTTCTGTAGCACTATCTTTATAAATCCAAATTTATCTGCGACTTCGACGACAGATTCATGGTAAAAATTCAGCTTAATAATGGAATAATTTAATCGATCCATTAGCCTTCTATTTCTCCTTTCTCTTATCACATCAGTTTATCTAGATGTTCAGAAATCAGTTGTTTCATAGATGAATCTTGAATATAAATGCCGACCCTTTAGTTAATGACACGAGTTCCTCACCGTTCCTCCATACAGCTTGGAAATGCATCCTGTTCTAATTTGCCTTTCTCGGTCACTGTCATGCTGTCCACTCTTACTCCATAATTTCCACAACATAGAGCAGTAAACGGCTCCATCATGTACCGCACAGATACTCTTTAACACTTAATTTTCAGACATAAAATTGTAACCGTTCTATACTGACATAGTGAGCATCTTTTTATAGNACATCAGTGTAGGGTATACCGGGCAGTGGCACTGAACCTTAAAAAAACATCAGTGTAGGGTATACCGGGCAGTGGCACTTCACCTTAAAAAAAACACCAGTGTAGGATATACCGGGCAAATGTATATCGGGCAGTGGCACTAGACCTAGTATATATTTCGGACATTTACCAAAGGTCTAGTCATACTAGTTCTGGTTAAGCGCCATTGCCCGATATACATTTGTCCGGTATATCCTACACTGATGTTTTTTTAAGGTGAAGTGCCACTGCCCGGTATACCCTACACTGATGTTTTTTTAAGGTTCAGTGCCACTGCCCGGTATACATTTGCCCGGTATACCCTACACTGGTGTTTTTTTAAAGTCAAGTGCCATTGCTCGGTATATATTTGCCCGATACTCCAAACACTGATGTTTCTTCTAATCTATCGTCAGTAAGTATTAAAATATCGAATAAATGTAATTATATCCACGAATAAATTATTATAAAATCGGATGCAATAAATATTTCGGACATTCACCAAAGCGACTATGTGATTGTCAGCATTCACCGATGAAAGTCAACAACCACCGATTTCGGTCATACACAGTAACATGCACATCATTTACATAATAAACTCATTAGGACGTTTATTTCATACTTTGCCTAAATAGCATTTGGCATTCTATAGAATGCCTAGGCATTTTATACAATGCCTAAGGAAAGTATGTAATGCTTCTCACATTTCATACTTTGCCTAAATACATCCGGCATTCTATACAATGTGAGCGTTTCATACTTTGCCGGTAACATATATATACAGGGAGGGGGGAGAGCCCCTCCCCATTCTTGAGGTACTTCCACAGTGACTGAATAAATGTGTGATTTGCTGTTACGTTTTTAGATTGGATAAGGTTCTTATACAGTTTCTCTCTTTTTTCTTTCAACAGCTCTCTAAAGCTGGTGTACATATTTTCGGTGAATCCTTACCTGGGTCCACTTCAAGTGTGCCTAGGGAGGATGGTGATCGACATCATAAAATTCTTCTTCTTCTACACACTGGTCTTGTTTGCTTTTGCCTGTGGAATGAATCAACTGCTCTGGTATTACGCAGACATGGAGAAGCAAGTCTGTTTAACCAATCAGGATTCGCCTTCCGTCCAACAGGGAGCCTGCCTCAACTGGAGGAGATTTTCCAAGTACGATTCTATCATTTCATGTAGATACACAGACTGCTGATATGTGGATTAAAAATGTTTCAATTAAGGTTGTTCTTCGAAGCTCTGTCGCCAAGGAAAATAAAACAGCCATAGTTTTAAGTGCCTTGCACTTGAAACAATACGATGATTTTAAACTATATAGATAATCTTGCCTTGAAGAATTATCTGGGATTTAAAACAGACTAATAACTTAAAAATATTTTAAGAGTTATTGAATTTTTTTAAAAATCGCCAACTTGGCGACATTTTTTCACTTAGACGAAAATAATCAAAATCACTGCCTTATTTTCAGTTTTTGCTAATTTTTATAAGCCCAGGTAAGGCAGCATTGGAGTAAGTTCTTGAATATTAAAAAATTAGACCTCGAACGTTTTTCCTTTTCACAAAACTGTGGCTTTTCTTCACATTGACGTTTTGCGCCATTTTCAAAATAAGCGTTGACAGTTCTGGCTTTAGATAGTTGCAAGCTCTCAGCACAGGGTTTCCGCTACGGCAGCTTTTTTCGCAAAATGCGAAAAGACCCCTCAAAAATGCTAAAATTCAACAAAGCATTTTCGCATTTTTGCTAAAGGATTTTACTAAATTCCATTAAAAAAAAAAGCTTCCACGAAAAACCATGACGCTAACATCCATAAAAAAAACTTGATCAAACAAGAAGAAGAAAAAATCTAATTAGCTTTCGCAAGAAGAACCATGACGCTAGCCTTCATGAAAAAAACGTGATCAAACGAGATGAAGCATAGCAATCAACAAAAATGGCTAGAATATATGATATATATATTTGTTAATGATTAATATTTAGGGCCCTGAAAGTGCATTTAACTTTCAAGAAGCATTTGTAAAATGGGCAAANCAGGAAAGCGTCCTTCCATGTTACGACGGAACCTTCGAAAAACAGCTTTAATTCGTTCGTTGTGCGACCTAGAGCATCACGGTTTCATAGTACTGCCCAATTTCACTCTGTAATAACTCTCGAGGAAAATAAATTTTTCACGTTATTGATTTGTCACTACTTAGTAATCCTCAAAATGCAACAGATTAAATTTCGATCATCATTTTTGCAAAAAAACAAACATAAACCGTTCTTCCCATCTTGTCTTCAAATGCATACCTACAATAAGATTTGTTTATGTTCTTCATTTCTTTAATTTTTTAAAAAACTTGTCATTTTTGTATGGTTAAGTTGAGTTTTTTTTTATTTTTAAGTATGTTGAGCTGTTAGACTAAATAGGGAATAGTTAAAGAGAGATTTAAGTGCGATCGAGCTGCGTTTAAGTGTCAATTAAAAATCAACACTTCAGATAGATTCTCGTTGCAGCTTGTTCGAGAGTTCTCAGACGCTCTTCTGGGCAAGCTTCGGACTCATAGAATTGGAGAACTTTGAATTGTCCGGCATCCAGAGCTACACAAGATTCTGGGGTCTGTTGATGTTTGGTTCCTACTGCGTCATCAACGTGGTGGTCCTCCTCAATCTCCTCATCGCGATGATGAATCACTCCTATCAGGTTATATCGGTAAGTTTCAAAAATCATTGCATTTAAGACTATGTAATTCATGGACAATTGTGATATGATCTTCACAATAGAATATCTAATTTTTGTACTACTGCTATTATTGTAATAAATCTGTTATATTTTTCTAAAAACTTCCCACTACATTGGTCTACTAAAAAATGAATTAGTTTTAAAAATTTCTTACATGACTGATTATTAAACTTAAATTAATTCCAAATAACATTAAAATTAATAATTATAATAATCGGGATTTTTGTTTTATGGGAAATATTCAAGATAGGTCAGGTTTTAATATTAAGTTTTACATAAACGACTCGTAACTGATTTATTAATGAGTGACTTAGTTTAAAAAATCAAATTAAAATTTAGAAAAACTTGGAAAAGTTTTTTTTTCTCTTAGTGAACTAGATTAAATTAAATCTGCATATGAAAACATTTTTCTTGTTAAATAGTTAAAATACAAAGTGCATAATAAATAGTAGGGGAGAGTGGGGTCAATTATAACAGGGAACAATTGTAACAGAGCAAAAATTTCGAGTGTCGGGTTCTAAATTTGGTTCCTAGGTGGCGCACTAGGTGTATTTAATAAATCTACATCTATACCCCTGCTGGCAACCATTTTTATGTACTTTTGAAAGAGTTACATCACAAGAGATATTTTCACACTACGTAAGTCTTTTTTTTGGCATTAGAATATTGTAACAAAGTAATTTGGTTTAAAGAAAAAAAATTATTAACCAAATATGTAAGTGGACACCTTAATTAACATTTCAAAAAAAAAGATTAGTTTTGTTAATTAACTAGCATTGTTTTTAACAAATGCAGCTGAAATGGCGTCTTGGGTACGATTGTAATAATAAGTAAAGGGACGATTGTAACAGCTGAAAGTAAATAATCGTATGTTTACAAACCATTACTTAACTCTTTAAGAACCACCAATAGTTTCCTATATCATTTATATTATGTTGCATGTGCATTATTTTATTTGTCACCTTTCACCGCATAAATTAAAATTTTCAACCCCTTAAGGTTAAAAGTTTAACCCTTTAGGTCTCTGCTCATTATTATTTTTACTCCTAAAATATCACTACTATTTTGATCAATAAAAAAATATATCACAACTATGATAATATGTATAATTAACTATGTTTTAGTTGAATTTATGAACTGTTACAATAAGTGGGGACAATTGTAACAAGTGCACGACTGTCAAAAATTGTTAATAACTAATATAATAACATTTAAAATAAGGTATTTATTTTTTAGTAGAGGATAGTCTACTTTACTCGTCTGTCAATTAATACTAATAATATATTGGATTTTTTGTTAGTTAAAAATAGTTAAGTAAAAAATGTTACAACTGACCCCACTCTTCCCTACATAAATAAAATTAGAAAAGTCAAATTTTGCATTTAATAACTATTTAAAATCTATGTTTCTTCATAGACCATAAAATTTCAAAAAACACTAAATAATAGAATAATCAGTGAAATGTTATTATTTACTGCGATTAACTTCTGAACAGGTCAAATAATTTTATTCTGTGATAAATTATAAAGTCTCAACAAAAATAACTTTTCGTTGCCCTTATAATAAGGCACTTGATTTAAATCATTTTTAAATAAGCGATTCCTAAAATTTCAAGTTTCATTGTAGTTCGGATTATTTCATATATGGTGAAAAAATAATACTTACAAGAATTATTATTATTTTAATAACAATAATTATCGTTATAACTATAATGTAATAACAATAACTACCGGTTAGGTCAAATGTAGTTTCGTAAGAAAACAGTAGAGAAGAAGGTCAAAGAATGTCATTTTATGATAAAATACAACAAAACTGCTTCGATTAGTAATGACATAGCTCCCGATTTCATACTATATTATGCTAAAAACAATGAAATATTTTAAGTCTTATTTGTCAAAAAATATTTATTTATTCATTGGCCACTGCTGAAACATTTTAGACGGTGACAAACTTAATTAAAATTGACTAAATTTATTGAATGCTTTAATAATCGAAACTTTTAATTATCAAGTTTTACTTATAAATTTATTTATTCTTTATTATGCACTTTGCATTTTAGCTATTTCACAGGAAAAAAATTTTCATGTGTACATTCATTTTAATCGAGTAAACTGAAGAAAAAAAATTTCCAAGCAATTTCTAAATTTTAATTTTGTTTCGTAATTTGTTTTAGTGGGTTAAATATTTTTACTTAGTTAAATGCGTAACATTTCGTTATAAATTTATTTTGTTTATAAATAACTTTAAATGAGTTAAATTTGTTTACCGGGTTGAAATACTTTAATTATAGCATTAATAACTCTAAATGTGAGTATTTCCTGGTACTTTCTATATAGCTTGAAGCATTTTTTTAAACATTCAAATTTAAATCTAAAGCATAAGTAAGCTCAAAACGTACTTTCCTTTTTCCAAAAATATTAGTGTAAATTTTATTGCTTTTTAAAGGCATTTTTAAGTTATTTTAAACGGACATTTTATTTATTTAAAATAAATGTAAATATTAATGTGTTCTTGCTTCTTAGAAAATAAATGTGGACAACAAAGAAAGTATATTTATGATATATACAAATTTAGGAACGATTTCCGGATGCGTTCTTATACTCCGTTGTAAGTTTAGAAAAAATCATTATCCCTATGGAAAGAGCCTGTTGGCATGTAAGTGCACGTGAAATGCATGCCAAGCTCACATATCAACATCGCCAATTCTCATCATTTAAAAAAACTGAGGAAAGAATAATTAATATTTTTTCTTGCAGACGATTATCAAATACAGCGAAACAAAATTAAAAATTCTTGATCTCGCAATTGATTTATTAAGAGCATGTCATCATCATTTTTAGTGGTCCAATCAAATACAATACTCTTTAATGTCATATAGTTGTTTCTTTTTCAAGAACGAATGTTCTCCTCATTTAACGAAATGTGTCGCCATGTCTAGGATGCCAGTATGACTACGAAACTATAACCTTTTATTTTTTGAAACTTCTAAAATATATGTTGTAAAAGGTAGGTAGGTACTTTATTTACGTCGAACCAGAGCTGTACAATGGGCTATTGGTGACGGTCTAGAAAATATCCCTGATTGTGATCCGAAGACATGCATTGCGATTTTGATCCTCTGCAGAGGGTATGGCTCTCCCTGCTCTGGTGGCAAACGAAGTCAAGAACCTTACGGTAAAACAGTTTATCGAGAACCGATACCGCGCACTTTTGGTCCCTACGCAGGCTGATCAAAGTGGTCTCCCACCCGCTTACTGACCGCAGCCAGTGATGCTTGACTTCAGTGTTCTACTGGGAACTGTGTCTTTACGATCAGTCCCCTGAGGGAATAAATATATATATATATATATATAACTAATGTTGATTACTAAGATTATTTAAATGCTCTTGTGTATTTTTCCCGGGTATCATTTCTTTAAAAACCATTTATGTCTAAATGAAGAATTTAATTTAATTTGAGCAATTTTATAAAATAATAAAATACAATACAATAATATTATGACAATAAAATANTATATAATTTGATGACAAAATAAAACGGAATTATTTGCCGTCGCGGATGCTTACTTAAATCCGATACCGTAATGACCTTTTCTTAACTTGCAATGGTTGCCAAGTCTACTTTTAATGCCTTATGTGATTTTCACCTTCTCAATGTAGTTTGTGACCTTATGTTCCTATAAAAGTTGTCCATTTTTCTATGCTTTTTGTCACCCCTCTGAATTTGTCAGTCAAATTTTTGAACAACCTGTATATTCTACGTTAATTACTTAACTTCATTTATAAGTTCTGGTGTGCAAAGCATAGTTTTAAAACGTTTTTAGCGTACTTCCTAAGTTATATATATACGTTTTAAGTATACTTTTAAAAGCATACTTTCAAAGATTTTTCTTCAATCAATTGCAGGAACAGGCAGATACGGAGTGGAAATACGCCCGCTGCAAATTATGGCTCAGTTTTTTTGAAGATGGGGCGACAGTACCACCACCACTCAATATCATTCCCACACCTAAGAGTGTCTTCTACTTCTGCAGATGGTTATTCAAGAAACTGTTCCTAAACACTGCCAGAAAAGAACACCTCCGCACTATTAGGGTTAGTTTCGTACTTTTTTTTTTACATTTCTTATGTTTTTTAAAATGAAAAGAAATTAAACCTAACATTTTTAAAAAAAATATCGTTAATAGAAATGGAAAAGTGTTAATAATTGTATCGACACACCATTCATAAAAGAGATCTTGGTACCCACTTTTGAGGACATTATTTCACTTTCTTTTAAAACAAAATAAATTTTTATTGCTTTAACCATTTTATTTGTATATATAAAAGGCAAAGGCACCATTCTCTCTCACTCATCAATAATTTTCCGGCTTCCCATTAAGTTAGAAAAATAAAATTCTGTAGTTCGTAAATATTGAGGTTTGTCGGAGCAATTATAGAGCAATTAGACTAATTGATAGTCATACTAAATAGCGTGATAGAAGTTTCAATTTTCGACAGTGTCTTCTTTATCAGATAAAAAGGAAAAAACAAAAAAGGTTTTATTTTTAACCCTCAATTTGTACTTAAAATACTAATGTCAGGGATTCAAAGAGATGCTGCCGAAGTAAGCAGGGACTAGCGCGGAGTCGCGAGTTCGATCAGGTAAAGGGCAATGTGGAACCGCGAAGCGGTGAGTTCGTGCAGGCCGACTAGTTCATCGTCGCCGTCGTCTATAGTAATATATAAGATGACGAATTTTTTATTGTTTAATACTTTTATCTTTCAAAAAATACTTTTCAATACAGCCAAATGGTGCTATGTTGTAAAAACAAACTTGGCTTGACTGGCTCACAACTATTTCTTTTAATTTAAAATTCGTAACTCATAATTTTATAAGCGTCGTTGAACAGTCGAACTCCGTAGTCTCGTAATTTTGAACCCTATCCAGAAGACAAGGGAGCTCCTGGATCAAGTATTGGGAGAAATATACCTTCGTGGAGAACTTTTTGATGGAACTCACCCGCATTTGCGTTACATGGCGTAGAAAACAACGAAAACTTTTCACGATTAGCATGGTGGCAGGGGGACTGCAACCCATGATCCGTCTAAAACTGCAGATATTTCACGTCAGCATTGTGGCCGGTGCGAGCCGGGTGCGGAATTCGAATACCAGCCATTACTGGGATCGAACCAGAGTCACCTCGTTTAAAAGGGAGCGCTCTATCCACTGAGCCACCAAGGCTGTTAGCTTATAATTATTATTTTTTTTAAATTTTCAATTTCCTGTAACTTATGTTTCAGTTTTTTTAAAATTAAAATGGATAATCTTTGTTTCAGAGAAGAGCAAAACAGGCGATGGAGAGAGATTTCCAGTACCAGGTAAATATTAATGCCCCATGTGATAGTTGTTGAGCATAAATTGTGTTTTTTGGATAAACTGAGTAAAGCAAATGAATCAGGGATGCCAATTTCTTATTTGCCTTTACGAGAATTTTATACTGATTAGGAATATAGTTTAAGGGCCGTAGCTATATTTTATGAAGTTGCGTAAGTAAAACATGCAATATTGAGAATCACTTCAAATGCATTTTTTTCCCCCTAACAGAAACCAAATCACATTTTAAAACTAGTGTCTCAAGAACAGCGATCGTTATTAACTCAATGAAATATATAAATTAATTATGGATAGCACTCAAAATAAAGAGGAAAAAGTGAATAACTTATGATCTAATGACCGAATTTCACCTGGTAAATTGTTTAAAATCTTGACCTTACACATGTTATTTAAGTATTGCAGATGGTGTAGTTACAAATCCTACTTCATCTGCAGAGATACATCTTTTTTTTTCCCCAATCATTTTGGATTCTTGATTGTCGAAATATTAAGGGTTACCGCAATCTAAAAAATATCGTCCTAAAAATTGAGGAGAGTGTTTGAAGTTTGGATGATTTTATGTTAATTTAAAATTTATTCCATGGGATCTATAGTTTTATTAGTTCTTGAATTAATCATGGAATTAAGCGGTTCTTGTAATTAGTTATAAAAACCGTTTATCCAAATATAATTTAATGCAAGAAATTATTTTCCATAAATATTTATTGCTTTTTATTTGAAAATTTAATAACGGTCGAATAAACTTAAAGTTCTTAATTCTTTTTAAATTGTGTTATTATAAAGGACGAAGTTGAACGAAGATAATATCTAAGCAATAATGCCTCAAATAAACCATATCTTTAAATCTTTTTTTTTAACAAAAATTTTTTAGACCAACTTGTTACAAATTTCGATTTATAGTTACTTGATTTAAAATAATATTAAAATAAGTAGTTCTTCAAATTCATAACTCCATTCATTATTAAATTTAAAAAACGAATATGAATAAATAATTTTAAAAGCGCAAAAGTTTATATATTTTTTAAATTACTTTAAATGTTACAGAGATAAAAAGTAAAATTAGCATTAAGCAGGCAGGACGCTCCACCTTGCCAAATGTGATAAAATAGTAAATTCGGAGAGAGAAAAATTGTGTGTTCGGCGATTGAATTTTTCTTCCGAAAAGAAATATATATATTCCCCTCGATCCTTAGCCAGCTTTTTCAACAAAAAATAAGCTCCGTTTAAGTACTATTTAAGCACTGAAAAAATAATTTTATTCACTTTCCAATAAAAAAAAATCATAATTTGGATCTGTGCAGTAATAAAAATTATTCTTTTCTATCATTTAAAGTTCGTCATTTATAAACATAAAATCCTTAAAATTCAAAAACGTTTTCAAAAACTTTACATAATCATGATAAAATAATTAGCTTCCGATAAGTATCGCAGAGAAAAGTGCGAAAAATCATGTATTTTTTGTAATTTAGAACGACGATCAACACTGCAAAGAAAAAATCTCTTTTTAAAACATAGAAAATTAAGCACTTTTTACCAAACCCGAATTAAAAAAAAGCACCTTCAAGGGCTTTTAAAAATGTGAATCAAAAATAAGCACCTTTAAGCACTTTTTAAAAACGTTAAGCATCCTGTTAGAAGAAAAAATGGTCAATAGGAATTTTTCAGGTCAAGAGGAATGGTCAACAAAAATTTTTTTATATAAATCCTGCATTTTTTAAAACTTCGATCACAATAATTTCCGTTAGATACGTCGCATAAGCAATTATAATTATATCAAATCCAGATATTGTAAGCATTAAGCAAGCAACAAGAATGCATGAGACAAATTACCGTAAAATACATAATAATATAATGTTATAATACATAATAATATAATGTCCTTGATAATATAATGTTGCTTATTCTTATATTACTGCTCTAGTCTAAGAAGATATCAAAAGTTAACCCCAGCATATTCCCATTTCTTTTTCTCAAAGACATCCGTATTTTTCTACCACTTTTCCATTCATCTCTCATTTATTATTCCTCAAGTGCAAAATGTCTCTTGATTTGAATTTGCAATTTACAAAACAATACAATTTATGATAAATCTGTATTTTAATTTGGAATTTTGATGAATTTTGATTTGAAATCAATCATAAAAATATTGTTAAGATTTGCCTTTGGCTAAGAATTTCGAAACTTGGCGAATTCTTCTGATGTTTGGCTAATTTACGGACTAATAATTTGCAGTCCCCAAGGCGGGTCCTGAGTAGGTCAAGTTTCTAAACTATTACTGGGAACATATTTTTCAGATTTCGTCTGACCTCCTTATTTTAGGGGAGAAGAATCCAAGTCCACAAGGAAAAAAAGGAAAAATTCTAGGAAATAAGTTTTTTTCTTCTTTTTTTTTAAACTTCAAATACTTGAATTCACATAGTTAAGACCTCTTTGAACTATTAAAATCACATGTTAGTAAGTGAAAATCCGATTCTTAGTTTAAAGGTTATTCAAGTGTTTCCTTTTTTATTTTGTGTACAGTGCATGAAAGATAAAATAAACGAACCACCCTAAATTAATTTTGATCTAAGGATCGGATCTTCACGTTCTAGGACTCGATTTGAATGGTTCGAGGGGGGTGACCTCAAATATGCTAATTAATTAGTGCAGACAGTATTTTAAGTTGCGAAATCAGATACAAAAACGCTCATTCTCTGAATTAACAGATCTTTTTTTCACGGATTCAGATTTTTATCCCCCAAAAAATAGGGTTCACCGCAATCTGGGAAATAGGGTCCCAATGGTCAGGAAAGCGGTCCAAAGTTTGGACCCCTTAATGTTAATTATACTTTTTGAATATTTCATCATATCTTTAGAACTTTTTAAAATAATGTAAAAAATTGTATACCTTACAATTCGAAATTTTATCGACTATAATTATATTAAATAATAATAAATCTTATACTAAAAGTTATATTGTGTATAGACTATATTTCCCAGATTGCAGCTACCCCCCTATATTTGGGGAGTGACAAATCCGAACCCATTGAAAAAAAGGTATGTTTATTTAGAGAAAGTACGTTTTTTGTGTTTTATTTCGTGACTTAAAATATCGCCTGCACTAATTAATTAGCATATTTGAAGTCACACGAACCATTAAGATAGGTTGAACTCCGACCCACCCCAGGGGGGTATATGGAGATAAAAGTAAAATTATTACAATAAAATTTCTCTAAAAACTAAAGTTACAGTAAAATTTCGCCAAATGACAGTGGTGGTGATCAGTTAAAAGTGGATTAACAATAAAGTTTGACAATTAAAAACATGTGTTAAAGGCAATGAAACCCAATAGCGCCGGTGTAAATGTCGAGAATTAAATGATTATAATAATAAGGAAACAAGAGATTAAAAAAAATTCTCAAAACTAAAATCAATGAAAGCTAAAAGTCCAAATAGTAAATGTCTAAAAGTAAAAGTCTGACTAGAAGTCTATGAAGTCTAAAATCAAAAGTAGATAAAAATTCAAAATGTAAGGCTAAAAGTTGATTAGTAAAAATTAACGATGACATGCTCTATTGTTGGTTCATGACTGGGGTCAGTTGATCTGGGGCTAAAATGTCCTCGAGGGTTTGTTTAATAATTTGAAAATATTATTAAACAAAACACGAACCATTAAGGTAGAATCCTAGAACGGGAAGGTACGATTATTAGATTAAAACTTATTTAGGGTGGTCAGCTTATTTATTTATTTTTTGTGCACCGTAAAATTTTGAACAACAAATTGAATTATTTGCAAAATGATGCACAGTTTTTATCTACTCCCACTTCAATTTCTTTTCGGATATTAAGTTTTCTTTTCAGATAAATTAGTTCCCCTGGAAACTAATTTTCTAAGATATATATTTTGATGTAAGAACTTTGTAATTTTTCAGGAAAAATAATGTTCGTTCTAACATAAACTGTGTTGATCGAGCAACGTAATGGACAACTAGCGCTGAAAGAGGCTCATATTTTTAAATTCAGCAATGAATGATTCTTCTATATGTTTCATAATTTAATTCGATTTATTATTTTCAAACCGAAGGAAGTAAATACAAATCATAGTTTGAGCAATTTATTTCCATTCTTTGTTCTAGTAATTTTTATTTTAGAATTTAACTCAGTCTGCATTATTACGAAATGTAAGTTGTCAAACACTTTTATTTTTAGCGATCTATAAATCTGTTAATGAGAAGATGGAGCTGAGTCAACGTCACATCACGTCATTAATATTAAACCACGTCATTTTATATTTTCCGTTACTATATATTTTTACTAACCAAATCATATGCTATCATAATGCATGATACTAACAAGGGAAACTAGGGAAGTGTGACTCGCCAATTTTAAAATAAACTAGTGGGATGTATGCCTTATGAGAAATAATTTTAATGGGCAACATTCGTTTCGGCCCATAGAAGGTCCTGTGAGAGATAAAAAATAATTCAATATATAGAAAAATNATAAATTATTAAACGTATCATCATACATATTTAAATAAAAACTTTATATATATTATTAATCATACCGTCATACATATTCGAAGTAATATCTCTATACATATTAATAATACCTGTATGCTTATTATTAATACTTTATTCTTATACATTAATAATATTGTCATGCATATTATTAATATTACATTCATAAATATTATTAATAAATCGCAATACATACTATTAATAATATTGTCATATATATTATTAATTATATTGTCATTAATAATATTGTTATTAATGATAATAATATTGTCATATATATTATTAATAATAATGTCAATATATTAATAATATTGTCATATATTAATAATATTGTCATATTGTCATATATATTATTAATAATATTGTCATATATATTATTAATAGTATCTTCAAACATATTATTATTATCTTCATATACAATTATTAATAATATCTGTAAACAATTATTAATCCTTTACTTAATGCTTATCATTAATATTTCTTAT